AGGTTTTTTGGGGACAGGTTTTATTATTGATTTTTTCCAGAGGGTGGGGATGGTGTGAAGATCAACAGATTTTTGAAATATGGGACACCATGCTGATGTCAGTTCTTCTGCAAATGTCTTCAGAAGGAATGCAGAGATGCCATCTGGCCCTGTGGCCTTCTTAGTACAGGTGTGTTTGACCCTTTAAAGGTCCAATCACTTTTCAATCAGCACCCTTTCATCCTGGTCAGTAGCAGAGATTGTCTCTAAGATGTCTGTACATTCAGAGGAGAAGTCCTGGGTTTCAAATCTCACGTAAAAGTCATTCAGTTCATTTGCTTTTTGCAGGTCATCAGAGGTACAGAGAGTTTTTTTAGCTGGAGTCATATTTGTGATTGCCTTCATAGTGTCCCAAAGTTCCTTGGAGTTCATTGTAGAAACATTCTGTTCAATAATTTCCTTATGTCTCCTTCTAGCTTCTCTGAGCATGTGGTTAAGCTCCTTTTGCACACATTTCAGTTGCGTTTTCATCCCGGTTTTTAAAAGCTATATTTTTACGATTGATGCAGTCCTTAACCTCTTTAGTTATGTATGGTTTGTTGTTGGGGTACACAGTTATTTCTTTCTGAGGTATCACATTGTCAACACAGAAGTTTATATAGTCAGTTACCGTCTCAGTAGCATTATCCACGTCCATCTCATGAAAGATACTCCACTCAGTAGAGAGAAAACATCCTTTAAGAGACTCTATGCTGTCACTAGTCCAAACCTTTACAGTCTTGGTCTGTGGTTTACTACGCTTGAGAACCGTTTTGTAGGTAGGTATGAGATGAACAGTGTTATGGTCCGAGTTCGAAAGCGGGGGTTTGGCTCTACTCACATATGCGTTGTTCACATTTCCGTAACATTTGTCTAGAATTGTATCTCCCCGGGTCTCACATGTAACGTATTGTTGAAAACCGGGTAGTGACAGTTCAAGTTTGCAATGATTAAAGTCCCCTAGAATAAAAACCGGAGCGTCAGGAGTGTGTAGTAGCTGCTGGTGAACACAGTCAGTGATTTGAGCTGCTGCACTTGCTGCGTTCCCGCTGGGTGGAATATAAACAGTGCAGAGAATGATATTCCCAAACTCTCTAGGCAGGTACAGGGGTCTTAGGCTCAAGCACATAAGTTCAACGACTACATTGTTTTTCTCTGACACCGACTGATTGTGGTCGATGAATGTTAAAACATGTTTTTTGAGGCTGTATGTAGTTGTTCTTGTAACTCAAATCATACTTGTGTTTTTGACCTTCCGTTTGGAACCAACCTGCTAAATGGTAATCACTAACTAATCAGGTTCTTTGAAGCACCTTTGTTGAGGTTTGGGAGGAGTGTGTGTTTGCTCCCAAGGATGTGACGGTTACCCAGATGAGGCATGTATCTTCACAGAAGCATAGGCTGATGCCTTCCACAATCAATTGTACAGCTTGTTTCTAGTGTGTTGTTGCAGTATGGCCATGTGTAGTCAGTAATGATCCTCTCTCTGTGGAGTAACCACTGGCTGTGATTGCAGTATGGTGCGCTAGAGTGCAATTCTACCAACCTTTCCCACCTGGATCAAAAAACAAACACTTGTGTTCTTTTTTAAGCAGCAACCAGCAGCGCTACAGCTTTCTCTCGGTCAGTTGGTCGACAACAAATGAGTTTCAGTTGAGAGCCAGGCTCCTTTTTGCAGTCATTCCCTGACCATACAGTTACACTCATTTACACGTCCAGGATGCTCAGCTCCACCACAGTCTGATCCGAAGGCCACTGAGCAGCTCCTCTGGAGCCGTTGGAGGTGGTAATGTGCCTGGGCAAGGGCACTTCAGAGGCAGTGATAACCTTTAGGGCAAAAGTGAACCTCTGAAGCTCAGCAGTCTGTCCACACAGCTGCAGGCCTAGTAGCTTTAGACTTTTCTCAGAGCTTAACTGTGAAACTTTAGAAACCAGCGTGTCACTCTAAATAACATGTCATAATATGAGCTTGTCAGAGGAAACAGCAAAGCACTTTCATATTTGCTTGTAAAAACAACTTTGCGATGGTGTGTAGGCAAAGAGGCAATTTAGGTCAAACATGTGGGAGTCCAAATACTTTCAGAGGAACTGCACGTACCAGGTCAGCTGAGAAACAATAACTGCCATGATGAGAACATTATTTAGAGTTGTAGCAATAATGCAGACTAGCTCAAATTAGAGTTTGAAAGATTGCTTTTAATAACTGTTCTTTTTAGAGCAACCCTATTCTGCTCACTTGCAGGTTCATGTTAGCATTTTGTGTCAATACTCGGACCCATGTCTCCACGCTTTAATGTTCAAAAAGCTCTTTATTTTTCTCATACTGCCTCTTTACAGCACCTCTTTTCACCCTCTGTCTGAAACCAGAGCCGGGGTTGTGGACGGATTGTCCAATAATCTGTCTTTTCCTATCCACTATTCCTTGACCTCTGTGTGAAATGTCACAGGGTTAAGGGATAGTTGTTAGGAGATTCCAAAGGACTTAGGAAAAGACGACCGGGCTTCAAGAGAATCCGACTGCACTGACACTATCTGTAAGTCAAACAGAGCCTAGGGCTCCAATACATGAATTAAGACATATTTATTAAAGTGGACAAATAATAATATATATATAAATGTATATAAAGTACAAATATGTTCATTTAAATAACATTGAAATCAGTGATGGGAGGAGAAATGAAGTTCACAATTCTTGCAGGAGACATCAGTCAGTAATCAGCCAGGTGCTGCCACAGGGGAGGAGAGAAAGAGATGGTGCACACAGACCTGGGTAACAAAGGAAAGGAACTGAAGCGTGCAGACTGAAATCCTCTAAAGAATCAGGACAGGTAAGATGTTTCAACTTTGAGAGAGATCCGCAGAGCTGCGGTGCGTTTAAAAAGATGAAGTTGTTCTGATGAAATGTTTGCCTGTGTGCCCCATGTCTTTATAAGTCACTGTAAGGATATTACGTATCAATCAGCTCATTCGCAGAGCACTGTGACCAGAGACGCTGATGGCTAATTCCATATTGATTTTATTATTGTCGGTCACAAACTATGTTCACTGGGACACAATTTGTGTCAAATAAGGACTTTAAAAGTCAAAGTCAACTTTATTGTCAATCTCAAAATATGTTTGTACACACAGAAAGATCGAAATACTGTTTCCCACAGTCCCGAGGTATACAAAAAACACATTCAAATGCAAGAACACTCAATCATTTACAAAAAAAAACACAGAATAACCGTTTACTTCAAGTAAGCAGGATATATATAAAAAGATGATGTACATAGTGCAAATGGGAATGCTGTCCATAGCAGCGTAAAAGTGACTGATTTGTTGTGTCTGTGTGTGGGGGGGTGTTAAAGTCCCGGTCCAGTGGGGGCAGGGTGGAGAGGTGAGATAGAGGGGAGAGAAGGGAGAGAAGGGAGAGAGGGGAGAGAGGGGAGAGAGTTCAGCCTCCTTACTTCATATTGCTCCGATAGTTTGCAAAAGGAAGTATAATATAATGCTATTTAAATAAGTCAATACATTGAAATTAAAAGAGTTGAATAAATAATATTTAAATAAGTTAATACATGTACAATAAATAAATAAATAAATACAACAAAATAGTGTTGCTAAAACGGAGTAAAACCTATCTTTAAATTAGTTGATCAAATCCAGTTAAATTGCTGAAATTAAAAAGGGCTTGCATGAAGTGGTAAGAGTTTGATTTCATATTTACAATTAATAGATTTCTGTGCTTAGTTTGCATATCATTTGTGGAACATTTTAAAAGTGATATTAATGTCTATCTGCTGTGGGGAAACTACAGTTCTCTGTACAGCGGACTTCTGTAACATAGATACTTTGCACCTATACTATTATAGACTATAATAGTATAGGCAACACTATAATAGTGTTGCTTTTTAGCAAGCTTTATGAACGTAGACAACAGTGAAAATATATTCTTCATTTGCAAGTTTGGAATTCAAATAAAGTGAAACGTAATGGTTGCTCGCCCTCACCCTGCGGTCCACACCTATTAATCCACATGAATCCTAATACGTATGATTGTATGAAAATATTTTTAAATAAATACAATTGTATTTATTGTAAACATGTTGGGCCTCAACATCTAATTGTATTAAAGTGTAGGAACCCCATACAGCTCAGTAGACACTGTGAAATGTGGACTGTATTTGATTATTTCACAGTAAAAAAGTAACGTTCATGTTTTACCTTTTGATTAATAGTGGGTGCGTTTCACTTCTCTTATTTTGTATTTCCTCGCTCCTCGGTCTCGGTAACACCAAGTGTTTCTCAGTCTGCTTTTTATTGATATGTGGCAAAGCAAATGGTATATCTCACTTCTTCCTCTCTACCAAAGCTGCTGTATCTTTCCAAACCCTAAAGCTTGTTGCTGCAAGTATGTTCACCACCTTATAATCATTAAGAAACTGTGGGAATAGTGTAGTGTGTGCATCAATCAATCACCTTGGAAGTGGTGACCAGCCGTCTGTGCATGGTGCTGCAGGGCTCTGATGTGCTCTGCTCCACCTTAGAGACCAACAAAACAAATACACAATTAAGATGAAGTTGCAATCAACAACATGAATGCATCTTTCATAGCCTTGTGTACACACAGAATCAAGCACACATTAAGCCATACAATTCCTTGACATATTATGGTCTTGAGAGCTCATACGGAGAAAAAATGCAAGGTTTACAACTCTTCTTCTTTTCTTCCAAAAACAATAAATAATTCAAAACCATTTCAAACATAACCAGTTCTCCTTTTAATGTGCAAGTTATCTTTTCTAACGGATGACTGAAGAACATCTGCCTTGCTTATTGTTTTCTGAATCTATTGTCTTTTTACAAAACAATGCAATTAGTCTTTTGCAATGCAGGCAATAAAACTGCTATTATTCTTTCTTCCTGCATATTCAAACATATTCACAAAGAATAAAACATGCACCATGTTACACCATAATAACAAGAGAGGGTTGTTATACCTGAGTTAGTATGCTGAAATGGGTCTGAGCTGTGACTCTGTTGGTATCGGAGGGAGCCATATCTCTGGAGTGGTCCTGAAGCAGACAGAATAACATGTATGCAGGAATATGTATAGGGTACAGAGAACTGGTCCCAACAGGAACTACTGTTGGACTACGGTACTGTCACTTATTCCAATTGGAGCCAATGAACTGGCATGGCTGACAATACAGAAACTTAGACTTTGCTGAGTCCATCAGAGCTCTTGGACTGGGCCAATCAGGTCTGAGGTTTTGTCCAAAGTCTTCTCTGTAACCCTGAAGAACTAAGCATTCAGAAAACTGTTCAAGTCCAACAGTATTAAAGCACAACTGGCTTCTGTGCTTTACTGCAGTACAACCTTCAGAAAGGATGTTGTGGATGTTTACAAAGATATATGACTAGACAAGTTATTTGATTAGGGCTGTGTAGGAGTTATTTAACACCTTTATAGAGTTAAGATATTCACTAATGCACATTAACAAAGGCTTGCTCCTTTTGCCCATACATTGACCAAAGAATGCTGTGTTTAGTGTTGATGTGCTGATGGTCATCTCATGCATTAAACATTCTTTTCTTGTTTTTTCATCATGCAAGTTAAATGTTTGTTTTTTTCAGCAGCTTGCATTTTCTTTTTCTTTCATGTTGCGTGGGCTGCTGTTCCTAGAATAGAGGGCATCCTTATCAGTGCAAGAACTCATTTTGTCAGTCAGGTAGAACAACACAACAAAAGGGTATTTATAATCTTCAACTCATCTTTAACCATTTTCCAAAAATAAAAGTGTTGAGTTGTTTTGTTGGTGTAAAAGCATCTAATACAGTATTCAGGTCCATAGACAGGAAAAGCTCCCACTGAAATCCAGAGTCATTTAAATGTACATCAAATCATACTGTATTGTGTGACAAGAACTTATTTATAAATGATCAATCAGTTGCAGGAAAGGTCTCCCTGTTGACCACTGTAGTATTGATCAGTTATACAGGAGCATAAACAGAGTCATTCAAGAGGTCATACAGTAACAGAGGTGAAGCCCTCAGCGGACTGACCAAGCCCCCAGGAAGTGCGCCGGACTCTGATGAAAATATTCGTTGTGTCCAAACGGCGGTACTACAATTTCTGTATCAGTCCGTGACGTCACTGGGCCCAGAAAGACTTTTTCCCATTGACTGACATTGGGAAAGAGACGTCTGTAAATCAGCGGATAATTAAAAAAAAACTAAATAAACTACCCAGTATGAACTATGTTATAGCCCTTACTAGAATCATTCGGTCCTTAAAGTTGTAAAATGCACTAAAAGCCGAATCTAGATTTATTTTCTGTCTCCATTCATTCTACTGAGCCGAGAGTGGGAGCTCAAGGGGCGGGGCTTAAGGGGCGCATGCTCTGTGAGTGCACATACGGGTTCTTCTGCTCTGACAGCGGGTAATCTGTGACATTTCGCTCTCTCAAAAGTTGGGCCATTTTGTCCTCATGCGCCAATGAGCAGCTCTCATAGGAAAGAACGAGACCCCGCCTCCCACGCTGTATCCAGTTCTTATTATACATCCATGGGACTGACCCGTGTTCCATCTGAAATCCAAGGCTTCATGTCAGCTCTCAGTATAACTGTCCAGCCGCTGTGTTTGCACTGACCTTGTCCTGGATGAGAGGGGGGGGCGTGCAGGTGTACCCCCCAGGCGTCAGCAGCGTGCCCCAGCAGCAGGCTGCTGATGTGCCGATGGGCCAGGGCGTCCCAGTGAATGCCGTCCGGCATGCGGTGCTGCAGGCTGAAGCGGAAGTGGAAGTGCAGGTCGAGGACGTCCAGGCCGTACGCATCCGCCAGCTGACTGCTGTAGAAGTTGGCCTCGATGATGTCATAACACAGTGACGGAGCCAAGTGACTCACCTGTGGGAAATCATTTGAGCAACAGGTGATTTTCTGTTCTACACACCGTGTTTGGTAGTAATTCTGCTCATTTAGTCAATATGATCACTTACTCTCCCTGCATATGACATTTAATATTGAGACAAAATTATTGTAGGAATATTTGGTTCACAGGTTCATGAATTGGTCTCATGTCTTTTGAGTAAATCTAGTCACTTTAGTCTCAACAAGCAGTGACATAAATAGAGACCTTATTTTAAAGTGGGGGTGTGCTTCAATCCACGGGTATTCATACAGGTGTATTTTTATCTTCCACATAAAAGAGCCAGAATGTATTCTTCTTAACAAAACAAAAAAAACATCCCCCACTCACAACCCACCCATCCCCTTCCACACCTAACCTGGAGCTCCATAATACACGTTTAAAGCAAGGCAGTAGTCCACAAAAGCAAAGTAAAAGAAGCACTTTACTCATATAGAGCATTCCATCCATGTGTCTGTTTATAAGATGGATGTATACATTACATTCAATGGTGTTCATATACAACAAATAGCAACAAAAAATAAAATATATGGAAATTAAATAAAAATGATGAAATGGAAGAAAAATATACAAAGACACCAGCATAAGGTTAGCAGCCAACATGATGTTTAATATGCATTACATTATAAAATCTTATATATTCAAGTGCATAAGGTGCCAATTTAAGCATGAGTAGACATCCAATAATCAAATAGGCGTTCCCAAAATGTTCAGGTGCATAATGAGGACCCCCCCCATATCCCTGAGCCACTGCTTTAATAAAGGACTAGTCTCTGACTTCCGCTGCTGTGGGATAAGGCCAACAGTTTACAGAGGTACATGGCATGTCCCTCATATTTAGTAATGAACAATTAACTACCACTGATCCAAAGATAGCAAGTAAAGGGTCTGGAGCAATAGATTTATCTAAGGCCTTGGATATATAGTCAAATATAAGAGTTTGAAGGGGATAGCTTGGAGCAGGACCAGGAGTGATGGGTACTCCAAGTGTTCTAGACTCTTGTCACATAATGGGGAGGTTTTGGGTTATAAAACACAAAGTCTCGACTTTGAATAATGGAGCCTGCAAACTACTTTGAAATGAACTAAGGCATTTCTGGCATTTATAGAACTATGGGGAATAATGTCAAAAATACCCTCCCATATTTCAGCAGAGATTTCAGTACATAGTTTCTGTTCCCAATCATTTCCCCCTTTTTCAGCAGCAGGGGGAGGGAAGCCCTGGTTGTGGCAAACATCCAGTCAGGCTTCCACTTAGTAAACAGAAATATCAGCTGTGTGCGCAGCAAAGAGAAGTCTAACCTTCTCACATTAATTGTTTAAATTACTTTGAATCGTGTAATCTTGTTGTTCCTTCTTCTTCTGTGGTGACAGGTGAAAAGACACCTGATGGAAGAATTACCAGCACCAGCTGTTTCTCTTGATGGACGAACTGCAAATATTCACATTAAAGTACTGTATGGGAACATTCATTTGTATTTTCTTTTGCACACATCATAGAAATGTAGTAAAAGCTTGCACTCAATTCTGTTGGAATGCATTGCTTTTCTTAGCATTAGGAAACAGGAGGAACAAAGATTGTGTATTTTGTTTTGTAGTCAGCATAAGAAGGTTTTTATAAAAAGGTTAACAAAATAAAAATATGAATTCTGTCAAGGCCAGTGTGATATTCACCTCAGAACTCACAGCTGTGACAATGTACTGTGGTCTCTCAGATTAAGATCAAAGGTTTAGGCCAATGTGAACATGTGACAGGCGGGTGGGAAGGGTTTCTGCTTCATCTCTGCAGCCAGTCTAATTCCACAATACTAATATGAGGCTGCTCATTTCCCTGCCCTCTGAATGGATGTGCTGATAAGTGAAATCAGCTGGTGTAGTGATTGGTTTTGAATGGAAACCTGCAGCGGAGAGATACTCACTTCAGGCACCAAGAATCCACCCTTGATCTTCTTGGCGAGCGGCATGGCCAGAGTCCACAGCATGAGACAGTCACGGCCAACGAGCGCTTTAATCTGGCTGAAGAATTTGTGGAGGTTCTCTTTGTACTGCTCCAGACACTCCGGGCCATACCTGACATTACAAATAAGAATTTGAACACCAGATAAGTGAAAATAGAACTGCCATGCTTAGATTTTAATTGTTAACTTCTAATTTTCCATCTAGCATCTGTAAAATGTAGATATTAATAAGTTATAAATGATACTGGTATTCGTGAAAGTGACATATGACCAATAGTGTGCAGTGTGGTACAGATCTAAAGACTTTTAAACCATATGATTATTACTGACCATAAACAGGACTTGCCTGACCACAACACCATGTTGTTAGGCTGATGGATATACACATTTCAATCCAAATACAACTTTATCTCCTCTAGCTTTTTTGAACATGAACACATTATTTAAATACATATATATGAAGTTATTGGAAAATATTGGATTTTTGCTACTAAGACATGTACTCAGTGAAACATTTTACAGTAAAAATGACCCCTGGATATGGACCACTTTAAAGAGATGCATGTTTTAAAGTTTCAGAATGACCTCAGACTTCACAGGTATATTTCATGACCGTCCATCAAACAGAAACATGTGATATTTAAATAAAAGACCAAAGTGTGAAACTCTAGAAGAAAGTCAGAGGATCACTAAATCATTCATATTATATCTAGGGCTGTCAAGTTAACGCACTAATAACGCAAAAAAAAAATTAACGCCTCTAATTATTTTAACGCGATTAACGCATGTGTATTTTTTTTCCTCGGCCGCCCCGTAGTTTCAGAGCGCATCGAGTTTAAAATACCATCTACAAGCTGATGCTGACAGCCCCGCTCCTGCCGCCCGCTTGTGGCAGACCACACTTCCACGCTCACCGGCAGGCCCGGACTGGCCATCGGGAGGACCGGGAGGGAGTGTGTATGTGTGGCGCGAGCGAGGCACACCTTACGTGTTGTTGTTGTTGTTGTTGTTGTTAGCATCTGGTGCTAGCTAGCTGCGCTAACAGATATAAGGAGCTGTTTCAATGAAAACAGAGGAGCGACATTTCGCCGAGCACTTGACTTTATGCAGGTAGCCAGACAGTGGGACATTGTACGAAAAGTCAGCACACTCAGTGCGCGCAACATGATTGCAGCGTCCAGGCAGCTCCCGTTCGAGCATATATGCCTTGAGCTGCCCATAGAGAACGCCCATAGAGAACACACACACACACACACACACACACACACACACACACACACACACACACACACACACACACACACACACACACACACACACACAACCACACACACACACACACACACACACACACACACACACACACACACACACACACACACACACACACACACACACACACACACACACACACACACACACACACACACACACACACACACACACACACACACACACACACACACACACACACACACACACACACACACACACACACACACACACACACACACACACACACACACACACACACACACACACACACACACACACACACACACACACACACACACACACACACACACACACACACACTTATTGTATGAGAGGTTCCAGGTTGAATTGAGGCGAATATTTGTAATGTTCAGAGGTTGTTGTGTTTAATATTCATGAGAATATTTGTCATTGTTCAAATGATAATAAACAAACATATTGTAGTGATCACTGATTAATACACTGGGTTACATAATCCAATCATGGAACTACAGGTTGGGGGTATTGTTTCCGCACGGACGCATATGTTGACGGTACCTACTGTGTACCTACTGTGTGTCCTCCCTTTCTCTTCTCTTCTCTTCTCGGGCTGCGACCCGACAGCATGTCAATTTCTGCTGCTCAATAAAGTGAGATTTGCACCTTCGATGCACCGCCTCCGACTCCCTTCTCTCTGCACTACATTGGTGACCCTGACATAAGTCTCGCGAAGGTTCCGAGACTGTATCGAACACGGCAAAGCACCTTCCCTGGTGGGGGCACGCCGCCTGGCAGAGGCTCCGGGGCCGACGACGGCGACTACTGGCCGCCGAGAACTGCTAGCCACGACTGCTAACGGCTAGCAGCTGGCAACAGCTAACGACGGCTAGCCACAGCAGCTAGCGGCTATCGACATCCAACTGTTTTTTAATTTTTTTGTTTTTTGTGGTGCCGGAGAGGAGGTTCGATCATGTCTGGTCGGCCTCGCGTGGCTCCTCTCGCTATTTCGCCCACCTGTTTTTGATCGTGGACGGGACGACCCTTTTTGAGCTTTTTCTGGTGCCTGAGAGGAGGTTCGACCATGTCTGGTCGGCCTCGTGTGGACCC